TGATTTTACTTTTTCTGGTATGATAATCGTCGGCAGATTTTTAACGGTGCCTGTACACACTAAACTGTTTCTGAGCCCTAGTTATGTATAAAAATTGAATTGATTTGCATACGTATAAAGATTTTAAGATCAAACATTCTAAAGAAAACACTTTTTTTTAAAATTGCTAAAAAAAACATGGATGCATTCTTTTAGTATTTAATAAGTATGTCGAGATTAAAATAGAATTTTATTAAATAATGATACATTTCTTAAATATCATCTAAATTGTTTTATTAATGTCCATTCCTTAGTGTGGATAAAAAAAAAAGCAATATGATATTTTTCGAAAAGAGTCTAATAGTTGTCACATAGATTGTTTTATTAATTTTTTTTTTAATCTAATTTTCTTGATTTCCGCCATCCAATAGTTCTCTTGGCAAAAATGTCCAAGTAGTTCCTATTATAGCCATGACAGAACAAACAACTAAGATAAACAAATCCCAAATTAATTCTTTTTTTGAAAGATATCTACCAAACATTTTTAAATGACATAAAAGTGGACAAATTGAAGCTATTAAAAATGAAAAACATGAACCGAGGAGAGACTTTTTTAAGAATTTCAGTACGATTAACGAAACAAGAATAATTTTAATTTAGTAAGAAAAGCAATTCCGAAAAGTAAATAATTTAATTTGATATAAATGCTTACCATTGCACGATCAAAGCCAGGAAAGACAATTGCGGTTCCAACAATAACGAAACTAACTAAAGATCTTGAAATAATAATGAAAAGAAATTTGAAAACTTTTGACCTAGATAATGCATCCATACGTGTCCGAAAGAATGTTACTTCGATACTTAAATTAATTGGAACCAATGTGAGAGGATATTTTGAGAGAGGATTAATAACAATCAACCATACTACAATGGAATTTAAAAAGAGGCTGTATCCACAAGTTGACATTATGTTTTGAGTAATCTATATGTGTATTAGAAATTTATAAATAAACAATGATAATAATGATAATAGCATAATGATGATAATTTTTTACGAGAAAATAAAATAGGATATAACATACTTCTTGCATCGTCTCAGACCCAAACATTAAATAACCACAAATAGCGACAGTAAAATAAACAACACCAGCAACCAAATAACTAGAATTTACAGATTTTTTATAATCACAAGGTTTTTCCATATCACGATATAACGAAGGGAAAACAGCGTGACCAGAAAAGGCAGAATTGATAAGACCAAAAGATAAAGGCATGATCAACCAATTTTGAGGGAAAAGATAAGTATCCATAGGTTGCCATAAACTTCCAGGAGCAACATATTTAGTCAGACCATCAATCAATAAAACCAAAGCTAATGAAGACGCAGTAAAAATTCCAAGGATCGAGGTATAAGAAAGATAATGAATTGGTAGCCAAGTTATTGGAGTAATGATAAGAAATACGAAAAGTTTCAAACGAATGAGATCTACTTGAGGGAAAAGGATCTTGAGAGAATCGCCAACCAAAATCATCAAAGCGACACTGATTATATTGGTGTTATATAGATGAAACTAAATTGCTGATAAATAAAAGAAAGAAAGAAAACCATGAACAGATAATAAAAAAGAACTTACGCAGCGTTATAAAGATCCATTAGAAATAAAAAGCCAACGAAAATTTTTCCTTTTTGACCGTAAGCCAAATAAGCGAGATCAGCGTATGTAAGACATTCAGGATCGGTGTCTAAACATTTTTTGAGAATTTTTGCGGTATAATTCGTTGATATAAGACAAAATGAAAATATCGAAAGTCCAATAACCCATCCGGAAAATTTAAACGCAAGAGGCAACGCCAATATCGCAATTCCCATCAATATATTCTTTTTTTTTTTAAAAAAAAAGATTGATTTTTTATTTTTAAATTAATTGAAAATTTTATAATATTCACAAGTAATATTAATATTTATGGAATTTTTTTTTTTAGCGTACCACCGCGTTAACAATCGTTTGCCTAACAGTTGACTTTCCAAGATTCATCAAACTACGATAACCCCTTTCGTCTTCTAGTGTGCCGAAAGTACGCGTATGTCTACTTAGTAATCTATTATCTTCGTCTTCTAAATCTACATCTCGACTATATGCATCGTTATTTCCACAAAGCCTTCGATCATTGTCAGATACGTGAAAATTAAAGTGTAAAAATTTTAGATTCCTCGAAGTTGAAGAAAACCAAGAGTTTAATAACATTCGAAATTGCATGTTGTCTGTGAAAGAGCGAGAATTATTATTGGGATAAATAGGTCGATTTAAAGGAGGATAAATTGATGGTTTGCACGCTTTTTTTTTTTTTTTATTGAATTCTAAATTTGGGTAAATTTTTTTAATTTCTTTTACCTTACTTAGGGAGGACGAGAATTTTCTAGTAATAACTTGATCGCAAAGTTTATTCTTTATATAGGAATGTTATGAAATTATTGCATCAGAATTTGTATACGTCAAATATTTTCCGATTTGATCCGATTTTGATACTAATTATCTTTCAAAAAGCTGATACTAATTATCTTTCAAAAAGCAAAAACGAAAAGCATTAATGCTATTTCAAATTAAAATTTGAAATTGCATCATTTTCAAACATTTTAAAATATAGATTTTATTTTGAAATTATTTTCTGAAAACTAAATTTAGTAAAGTATATAAGAATACAAAAATATAATTAACAATTTAATATTAAGGTTGTACTACTTTGAAAAATACCGATACCGGTAAATTATTTGGATCAATTAGTTTGTGACCAGACGATTCAATAAACTTAAGCATGAGACTTATTCAGTGTGAATCAACTAGAATAAAATTATATGCACGTACCTTTTTTTCTTTTTATTTCTCTTCGGTTCTCTTAAATCTATAGCCTTAAATACGGGTCGGTTAAAGCGGAGCGAGGTTTAGAGTTACCTTTTTGATGCATTTAGGGTTAGTTGGTTATACGTATATATATATCAAGAATGCAATTTATGCAGTATGTAGACCATATATTGAATTCGCTCCGCTTTAACTGCCCCCTTAAATAGATGTTATCTTATGCATTGATCAATGAGGTTATAATCTACTTACAAGTTGGATTAGCATAGATACTTATATACATACATATACTTTTAATATCGATATATAACTTTTAAAATTTCATTGTACTAAATAATTCACGCATAATAATACATTTATTGAAGTCTCGTTAATTGCGCCAGACCGTCTCATTATCATTGTGAGGTTGACACAAATTTTCCTGCAAGACAATTGACGTAATCATTTATGTGGATCTCTTGCAGTATAATTTAAATCAATTGATTAATAATACATTTTATCTATTGATGTTGTCATACTGCAAAAGATCCCATTACGTAATCCAGTTTAAAGTTTTATTAAAAAAAAAAACTTGATAAATTTAAGCTTTGTACGTAAGTGATACGTAACGGTAAGTAGACCATTGCAGTAATTGAAATTGACAAAGCACTCTCCCGAATTTTTAGATCTTGTGTTGTATTTTGAATATTTTTAAAAAAATAGAATGACTTGAAAAGTATTCACTTTATAGTTGTCATATAAACCAAGACGACAAAATCACTTAATTTCTATTGCTAAAGCTAATTATCATTGTGTGTCCGGAAAAATGATTCACTGAAAAAGCCCAAGTCAAGTGTAACACCCTTTATGCTCGCATCGGTAATTAATAAACACATGGGGAATGGACTAGGAAAATCACTGTTAAAAGTAAGTGGTTATGATAGCGAAAAAGTGAGGTAGCTTAATCTCATTACGTCAACTAGCTTCTAATTATAAATGCTAAACGTGAACCAGAAGCCCGATTTTTGCCTTAACCAATAATTTTTGTTATATTTCGCATGCTTTTTTAAATTCTTATCATTATTACGTTAAGTTTTAGTTTCTGTATAAATTTGGTTTATCATTATATCGTGAATTCTAACAGCTAAAGGAGAATCTAACGTAAGTATGTACGTACGTAAATGATAGTTCATGTAATATGTATTCAAAACGTACTTTTTTTTTAGGGAAACAAATTCAGTAAATCTTATCAAGACAAAAGTGCCATGAAAGATGTACCAATCAGATGTTTCAATTGGTTGGGAGAACCGGTAAACGTGGATGAGTAATTAGATGGCTAGGTTAGCCAAAATACACTGAGAAGTCGATTCTTATTTCAACTCAATAAAAGATTAAAGATTCAATTTTTATTTAAGGCACGAAAAACCTTCGTTTTTAGAATTTTTTTTTTAAGGATTACAAAGAAACCATGGTCATAATACATTGAAAATATATTTCCTCTATATTTCCTCTAAAACCTGAAACTCAATTTTCAAAATGATCACTTGTTTTCAATCGAAAAGAGTAAAGAGAGTAATTGAGAAACTCAAATTACAAAATTATTATTATGTTTTTTTTTCGGGTACAGTCTTTGATATTTAGCAAAAAAAAAAAAAAAAAAAAGAAATTAAAAGAGAAAAAAAATTGCAAAAATGAGAACATATTTTCATTCCCCTTTGAACTCGTTATGATCACGTCCCTCTAGTTATTACAGTACCATAACAGTATAATCGACATCAATCAAAACGAACTTATTTTTCACCCTTGAGTTCAAATACGAATAATAGTAGTTCCTTTTGAGTACTCCTTTAGTTGTAACGTTGTTTCGCATTTCGTATATCTGTCCCCGTGACCGCCTATTCTCGGACCAAATCAATCCACGCCTCAATCGAAGAGAGAATTTTATTAGATTTAGCAGATTATGTGTTAGGTTTTTGTTTAGTAGCGACCTTGTTAGACCAGTTTTTATTGTTATCAGTTATACTATCTTTCACTGTCACAATGTACTGTACGCACGTACATGCTTCATATATGTATCAATTTTAAAATTTATATATCGAAGAACTCATCAGCTTTAATAATATACTTTGAATTACTTAAAATAAAACCAGAATTTGCAATTCTAGTAAGTATTTGTGATATTTGCATATGCTGCAAATTCGAATGTATAAATATTTTCAAGATACGAGATGATAATATTTTCAAAAACATTTTTCCTCAGTACTGTAATTTTTCACGAATTTTAAAGACATATTAAAACGAATTGCGTAATTCATGATCATGATCATACTATACTGATATTTCTAATTACATGGGGCATCACTTAAATTTAGTAGAGTATGAAAAGTAGTGCGCTCCTAATCGAACGGTGTTGTACTGAACAACCCGATCTCATTTAATTTGTACATGACGGGTTAAATTGGATAAATTATTAAAAATAAATTGTCGTTACGTCATATTGCGCAAATCCGAGCATACGTGTGCTTAAGGTCTTAAAAAAAAAAAGTTTTTATTCTTGCAGCGTGTTGAGAAGAAAATTGTAAATAAATAGATTAGATTGGAGCGAAAGCCTTAAGAATATTAAATTATTAATTCTTATTATATGGCTTTGAATAAAAAGATTACAAACATTAAATTTTATGATCGATTTATTTCAATTGTCATTACTTAGCATTTAAAATTTCACAAATTTACAAACTCGACCCGATTGTTAGGAACACTAATGCGAAATGACAGCATGTTCCGCCTAGGGATGTTAAGTAGTATTTGAACCAGCTAGTTTAACTAGTTAGTCAGTACAATAAAAAATGTGGTCTATATAAATTCTGACCACCTGGTCAGATTACTTAACATCCCTAGTTCCGCCATTCAACATTTTCTCAAGCATTTAAAATAATGTAAAATAGTAGATAAAACGTGAGACGGTAAGGACATATGACTGGCGCCAAAAAAAAAAGGGGGGTCAGGTAACTAAAGAACCAGAATGAAAATGAAAATCTAAGAACAACAGAGTCTAAAGCGGAGCAGATTCTTATATATTTTATTGAATTAACTTTAGGGTCAGGGTCATCCTGTATTAAGTTAGGTTAGTTTTTAAGTAGTTATATATAAGCAAAATTGCCGTTTTTTTGTTTTTCGTTTTTTTCTTCGCTGACGACCATCAAAATTCTATAGTTTGAGTGATCCCACATCACGTGATTTTGCTCGCTTTAGACGACCCAGAATTAGGCACATCAGTGCTTGATCCAAA